ATTGTAACAGAAACTCTTGTTGAAAACAAGAACTGTCAGTTACTAAAACAAATACCCCCACTGTTCTCCACAAGATTAAAGGAATTCCCCCCTCCCCCGCCAGCTTTTTTTAAGCAAAGTTGCCTGATGCTGCTCACTGCAGCATACAGGAGCTCATGAGAAACTTCACTGTACTATTGTAATAACTGAAAGCTGACTTGTAGCCTAATCAGTTCATCTGATTGGCAGAGGCTCTTTATAGTTTTAAATGGAAGAAAATATTTTGTGACAGTGGTAGCACGATCCATTTTGATCTGAAGACTAAATCTGAGTCTTTTTTTATGTAAAATGTGCATTGCAAATGAGCTATGCTTATCTTCCCATATATTGTTCCCATTCAGTGACCATAATCTATTGGTACAGAAAACTGTTATTAAGGAATATAGTTATTAAGCAGCTAAACTCTGAACCTAAAGTTAATAGAATGAAATCCTCCAATTAATTTTCCCCAAATTACTATAGTAAAGAAGGCTGTGCAGATCTTTGAAGAGATGTTTTACTTCAACAATGTCACACTTCTAGCCAGTAAAGCAGCCATAGGCTTTATTTGTAACTCTCACCTCAACTTTTATCAAGATTGATCATCCATCATCTACACAGGCCCAGCAGAAAGTTCAGTAAATGAAAATAGGCAGCAGACATCATAGTTAAATGAGACTCGTGAGATTACAGTGGCAAACTGTTCACAATTCATGGTATCAAGAAGCACTTTCTTCTTTTTCTTTTAAATTAAAACCGGAAATTTATTTTTAAATTCTGAAAGGCAGAAAAAAAAATCTGTTCCCTTGATCAAGTCTCAAACCATTCAGTCACCGGAGCACTATTATTGCTAATCTGGCATAATCCAGTTTTGATGAGCTGGTTTTGGTATGCTCTGGCTCCCTTTCTTCAAATTATGTTCCTATTCATATAAGGCCAGCAAGCAAGCCAAATATATTGCAAGTAGGCACACCAATCAAAGGAATTAGAAATCAGCCATTTTTTGAAATCTCATATAGATATTAACTTCTAGTTTTGAGAAAAAGCATCCTCTACCTCAGTGTTCTTAAACTTGCTAAATTAAGATGTGTGGACCTCAACCTCCAGAATTCCTCAGGCAGCATGCTTTCAGAAGGATTCACAACAAATCAGAGCTGAGCTTTTCAGCCAGATCCACCAAGCTGGCCAAGCATTATTGCTGAAAGTACACTAGATTTTTAAGTAAGCAGTATTTAGTAAAAGTCTAAGGTCACTTCTAAGAGACCCAGTCAGTGTCCTATCACAAAAAGCTAAAAATATCTGCTCTCACGATGATCATGTTATGGTTGGCATTCCAAGTGTTGATTTGAAGGTATAAGGCCAATTTTAGAGTGAGATGGTTTACCCTCTTGGCATCAGGGCAACGAATCAAATTTACTTCAGTAATTCTGTTTGACTATGCAGTATATCAAGTCTGAAGCTTTTGAAAGCAAATGAAGGCAGCACTGACTATGACTGAAGCAACACTTTTGTTCATACTGTCCTTCCTCTGATTAGAACTGCCATTCCCATAATCTTTTCTAAAGCCTTTGAATGGAGAACATTTAATAGAAGAGAAAGAACGTGTCTTTGGCAACTTTCCTCTAATAACTGGAATGCAAGAACAGCAAATCCACTGCAGATAAATCCAGGAAATACCAAGATTTGTGCTCTTCCTCCATTGCCTTTGAATGCTTCTCTAACAAATAACATTTGTTGTTTTCTTGGAAGGAATATAGTAAAGCCTCTCAAGCTTTTACATTCCTACGCAGAGATACCAGTAAAGTATGAGTGCATGGCACAGCTTCACTTCACAGAACTGTCTGGACTCCCACTGCTAGAGTCAACTAGGACCATGGCAAAGGAAAGCACAGTGTCCCACCACGATGCTGCCAATTGATATGTTGAGGTGGATTGCTTTGGTTTGATGGAAATCCCTTTTTTGCACGTGCACAAAAAATACTATCAAACTCCAATGAAACAACTGTCTCGACTAACAAATCTGTTGTAACCACTTGAACATTTTATGTTGTGAACTGGTATCAAAGAGCAAACTGAGGTGGCTGTTTATACTCTAAACCAGGGGTGTCAAACTTGCAACCTTCACGTGACGTGTTGCAAAATATTGTGACTTTTTTGCCATTGCCGGCAATGGGGCAAGCGCGGTTTCGCTATGATGCATCTGGTAGTTTGACACCTCTGCTCTAAACCTGAAATCATTTTAATTGCATTACATATGGGTTTTGCAAACCTTATTTCACTATTTCCATAATCACATGAAAGACTAATGCAAAAATTACTAAACAAATTATCAAAGGGAAGACTTAGTAGTGTAATAGTTCTGCTTATTTATCTGGAGAATGAGACTGAGATAGTCTGTTATATTTGAATATGGGTTTTAAACTTGATCTTTCAGGAATAGGTATAGAACCCGATCCATGAAAACACACTGACTTAAAGGATTTTCTACCAAAATCTATTCTGTGTCCATTTACAAAATACATGCAGCATAACTTCATCCGATCTGTTTCAACTTGTTACTGAATTATATCCAGGAAGGTGACAGCATAGCAACACTCTGTGATTTACTGCCCAGCTGTCAGTATCACATTCAAAGTGACATTTTTAATTGCATACAACAAATAAAAGAAGGTTGGAGAAGAATAGCCTATAAAATCTATTGAAGAGAGAGAGAGAGAGAGAGAGAGAGAGAGAGAGAGAGAGAGAGAGAGAGAGAGAGAGAGAG